TGATGATGATGATGAGATGATGATGATGATGAGATGATGATGATGATGATGAGATGATGATGATGATGATGATGATGATGAGATGATGATGATGATGATGATGATGAGATGATGATGATGATGATGATGATGAGATGATGATGATGATGATGATGATGAGATGATGATGATGATGAGATGATGATGATGATGAGATGATGATGATGATGATGAGATGATGATGATGATGAGATGATGATGATGATGATGAGATGATGATGATGATGAGATGATGATGATGATGATGAGATGATGATGATGATGATGATGATGAGATGATGATGATGATGATGATGATGAGATGATGATGATGATGATGATGAGATGATGATGATGATGAGATGATGATGATGATGATGAGATGATGATGATGATGAGATGATGATGATGATGATGATGATGATGAGATGATGATGATGATGAGATGATGATGATGATGATGATGATGATGATGATGATGATGATGATGATGATGATGATGATGATGATGATGATGATGATGATGATGATGATGATGATGATGATGATGATGATGATGATGATGATGATGATAGAATAATAGTAAAACCTGTCATACCTGCAGTTAAGATGAAGCTAAATATATTTAAATGGCTGTATATACCTGCACACGCTTTTGAATGGGAGAACGTGATGCAGAAAAGGAGGAGGACAAAGATGGAGAGAGGAAGGAAAGGGTTCATTTCCGCCCAAGGGGAAGCGTGAGTATTACAACAGGAGGCTATGAGCAGGTCCCCCAGTCTTCGTCCTTGTCTCTCGACACGGATCAGAGGAGTAAGGATCTCTTGACCCCACCAGCAAAGGTGAGGAAAATGCATATAGTTTTTTGCTTTAGAGGGTTTTTTGGTGGTAAGGAAGTGCTTTGCATGGTTTGGCTTAGTTAACCATTACTAACAGATAAGATTGGAACATTAATGAAGACTTATTTGAAAATAAGGTGAAATAAGTGTTAATATCATTTATGCAAGACTTGGATTTCCTCTTCATTTTTCTTTTGATTGAAATACAAGTAAATATGAAATGAAAATATGTAAATGTTTTCTGTAGAAGAGTTTTGCACAACCATTTATAGTCTAAAAATAATATGTGCAGAAGAAAGATGGGACAAATGATTTTGATAACTGCACTGGTAGTTGCTTCTTTCCTGAATCTAAAATTTCCATGACAGCTTTTGAATGCCAGTTTCTGTTGTTTTGAAATGTAATTCAAGGGGTCTATCTCTAAATGAGTGTATTGGCAAGATGTTTGATGGAATAAATTGAATGTTTCAGCTTCAACAAGAATGTAGAAGGGAAGCAATCTGTTAACAGTGCCTTTACTCTTTCATCTTTAGGTGTTTCCAGATAAATATGTTGAGTTCCCTGATGGTGTGATGCAACCAGGAGGTAAGCAAGGCAAAGTTTTTCTAATCTAATTTCTTTATTGTTTTATATTAGTCCTTGCACTTGTTTATCATACTAGTGGTTATATAGAAAGGATTGTTGGTGATACTGAAGTTCCTGTACTATCTTACACAGGATAGAGAAAACACCAGTTAGGACATTTCAGATGGGAAATTCTGAACATTCAGGAATCCAAGTTTATTGGGATATATATATTGGCTTATAGGAATGCAATATTTCAAGGGAATTCATGCCACAGTGTTTATATAATTACCAAACTAACTCTTGTTGTAACTATTTTTTACTGCAGGTGTAGACACAACTGATGGAGACATAACCATGCCCAACAAGTCTGAGCCAATACCCATATCCATGAGGTAAGTAACTTATGTGTGAAAGGCATGATGTGAACTATTGTAACTCTTCCTAACATGATGTGTATTGGCAGTGAGATGCCTCATATATGACAAATGTTACGTATAAAAGTGTCTTTTAATTCATCCTAAACAACAAGAGATGATTTTACATTTATTGATTTCACTGCAAAATGTCAAGTTGAATGAATTATTTTTTCTTGTTTTATTCATTTCTTTTTAAAAATTGGAATGTATCTGGTAATAGCATGGATTGAGTTTTTAGTTTTTCAGTTCTTTTAAAATTTCTTTCCATTAAATATTTTTTGTGTTGCGTCTGTTATAAGATATGAGTTCTTATGAGCTCTTAATTCCATTTGTTTACATTGACAAAAAAACAGAAATAAAATATGAAGACAATTTACAGAGCCTTTAAGAATGGAAAAGTTTTTTATATAAGAAAGAGAAGATGATATATTTATATTTTATATAAAAAAGATAGAGTAATATATTTTCCATACACATATAAAACCATATATCCTTTTTAAAAAGTTATATGATTTTTTATCCCTTAGCATCTTATCCCCAATCCAGCTTACATTGTTGTATGACGAGAAACTGTGCTTGTTCCATGCAATATATAGTTTTCTTTCTTATTCCTCCCGCAAGGTTAAAATGTTTTGTGTCGTCTCCTCCCTATTGTTCTCCGTGATTCTGTAGATGCTTTTGGATTTTTATTTTTCAGATTTTAATTAATTTCTGCCTTAATTTTCTATAAGAATGTGTGGTACCTATCCATGTGTTATCCAGAATTCTATATTTATCTCAAGTGTTTGGTTAAGTGCAGTAGGTTCTGTTTTTATTTACATATCTGGTATTTTTGATACGTGGTTCATATCTCAAGTGTTTTTTATCCTTTTTCCTAATATTTATTTCATAGTTGTCTAGCATTTCCTCCCTTTTTTTCTGATTAGATGTTAGTAAGTATTATTTTCCTAGAATATCAATGATTCTTCTTAGACAACCAGACTTGCTTTGGGTAAGAATGAGATTGAAGATTCAATCAGCTGTTCATGCTAGCTTTGAAGATAATGGTGATTCCCCATTGTTAAAATCCCACTGATGTGGTGACTAAGAAAGGTGTTCTTGAGAGCAGAGGGCAAGGCTAGAGGCTGAGCATGAGTAACTGTTGTTTCTCAGGTCCCATTCCGACTGTGGGCTGGTGCCTGTGGAACTGCGAAGACCCTATCCGATTTTACGGTACTTGGAAACGGTTCTCTTTTGTCTTTTAGTAAAGAAAGATAAGCAACTCTCTGCTGCTGATCCCGCTGTTGTTGTCGCGCCTGCATCGTGTTCCCCCTACTTTATGGTTTGCTGTTCAATGTGTTGGCCTTTTATCTCTTTTGGTTTTATTCAGATTACCCCTTTCTACTTTTTTTCTTTTTTTTCTATTTTTTAAAGTGAATCCCAAATAAGGAATGTGCTTGACTTACCTTATTTTGGGGTTTGGCATGTATTCATGTATTACCAAATCTATTTTTATTTGCTTGAAAACCCAGATGTAACAAGGATATGAGAAAGGAAGCTTATTTTATTCTAATTATTTTTCTTCATCCTTGAATGCATTCCCAGACATGCATGTCACGTTCCCCTCCCCTGCCTACACACAGCTTTTTATTCCTTTGTCAAATGTTCTGGCAAAGCAGTTGACATTGCTGGATGAGATGGCTGCTTCCCCATCACCCTCACTCACAATGTTCACCTTTTTATTTTATTTTAGCTTCTTGTGTTATGTGAGGAACAAATGTAAACAGAAAGTACCCGTGATAGGTTTTAGTTGAATGATGAAACCCTTTGCACAATAGGCTGTTTGTGTGATCTCACAGTATGAGAAAATCGTAAAGAAACTAGCTAGAACTTTGACATTTGTGTAGATGTGATACATGTCATGAACAAAGATTTTTTTTTTTTCTTCATATGAAGGATAATCATCTGATCAGTTACTTAAATGGAAACAGATTTATGAGATTGAGGATCTTCAGGATATAGGAAATTGAATTCAGATGTAATTGTGATGAGATATTATTCTAGATTTTTTTTTTTTTTATCTGTAGAATGTAAGTGTTTCTGGATTATATTTTTTACTTGTCAAAGCCCAGTATAGTAATAATTGCAAATCCAGCCATGTTTCCTTTTTTTTGTCTTACTTTATTCTTGGTACAATCTTATTTTCTCCTCATCCTCTTTGTCCTTGATTTTGTATCTTCATCTTTTTTTTTCCCTTTTTCTTTAGCTCAAGACACATCTATTTCATAACTTCTGTAATGATAATACGAATACTCAGTCACATGTGGCAAACCATCCTGCTAATAATTATAGTTCTGTCAATTTTACTTCTTTGGAGTTCAAAGCTTTGATGTAATCCTATTTTAAGATTCAAAGTCCAGCTATTTTCATTTTTCTGTTTTGACATTATGTCATGCCATGTTTCACTGCCTCATTTATTCTCTTAATCTTTGTCTGTTTTTTTCCCATTAAACATTTTAGATTCTTCCCATACTTCTTACTTTTTATACTCCCCAAAACTTTTGATATATAAACTTTTTTCATAACCTGTTTGTAAAATCTTCCTTCATATTCCTCTTCCTCTTTTTTGCATTTCTAATTCCTATCCCGTAAGTCATTTTGTTCATGGCTTGACAGGATTCTTTCCTTTTCATATTTATATTTTTGTACCTTTCCATGTTAGGATGAATAAAGGGATTATTGATGTTTATAATAATCTTTTTTTTTTTATTCCCAGGAATAGTCAAAACATTAGAAGTAGATAAAAAATAGACAGCTTTTATATGTTAGGCCCAAAATTTGTCATTGAAGAAAATCAGAAAGATGAAATGACATAGAAAAGCTATTGAAAGAGTCCTATCTGTGTTTGTCCTTTGAATCTGTGAAGTGAGGCTGCATGCAAAGTGCACATTGCATTAAATGGATTAATGACTGCCATGTGTAACTTTTGAGAAACAAGCCTGCTATTTGGTCATTCTAATTTGCTTGTTAAAGAAAATGAAAAATGACATACATATATATGTATCTTTCTCTGTGTAAATATTTATATTTACATTGTATCAGTTTATCAGCATATCTATAGAGATGGGTACATTGATACAGATATAGATAAAGAAATACTATTAACATTTTTGTTTGTCATAAGAGAATAGTTCACTTCATTTGCTCTAGTAGCATTACCAGTACTATTCCTCGACAGTATTTTATATTCCAGGACACATAAACCATCAGATCAGTATGAAAAGAAGACAATTCTTTTCAACTTCTTTAACCATTTTTTACGTCTTTTCTAATCAGACCTCAACTTTTTCAGGTCTCTCTCGGATGGTGCCGCCTCATACAAGCAGTCACCAGCCACTGACACGTCACTCACAAGACCGCGATCCTTAGAGACGGAAAATAACCTCAATCCTGACAATACTTCTAAGCCAGAAAAGGGTATTCGCTTTTTCGTTATTTATGGTTATTTTTTAATTTTGTTAACTTATTGTTGCTTTTGTGGTGATTATTGTTATTATCATTATTATTATTATTATTATTATTATTATTATTATTATGACTATTATTGTTATTATTATTATTATTATTATTATGACTATTATTGTTATTATTATTATTATTATTATCATTGTTATTGCTATCATTTTTATTATCGTTATTATTTTTTTTGTGTGGTTGGATTGTTTAGATTTGGATGATTGCTGCTTTACTTACTCTTTTAACTTTGTTGATTTTGGAGTCTTGGGCTTTCCCATGGCTCAGTATTTTTACTTAAATGATACTGTAATGAAGGAAATGATAAGAGTGAATTCTCAAACAATAATGAATTATATTTTACATATGGAATTTGTATGTTTATACTACACTAACAAATTATTTCTTGAGGCTTAATCTTCTAATGGAGGATAGAACTGTTTGTTTTGTTTTCAGCGTCTCACATAAATATTTTGATATATATTGGCAGTTAGCCATTTAAAAGAGAATAAACAAAAAGTTGATATTTGTTTATTTTTTAAATCACTAAATTTTGTGGTTCTCTTTATATAAAAAGAATTTCCCAGCTCCATCTCATAATTTTCAGCTATGCCAATTTAATTGATATGTGGCTTGACATTAAACATTAATTTTAAAAGCGCTTTTTTTTAGGGATGACTTACTTGAATTTCTTTTATTATTTCATAAAAGTTGATTTACAGAATCAGTGCTTGGGAAATAGATAAGATATTTTGTTTTGGGTGAAATCTTTCATAAAATGAAATAAGATGAAAAAGGATTTTTTAAATTTAATCTTTTAGCACATTTCCTAGAAAAAATTCTAAAAAATTTGAATATGCACATTTAAATTATTTAAATTATTTAAAAATACCAAACGTAAAAGATTTTATTTTTTTGTAAGCTTTCATTTAATCTTTGTCCCTCATTTAGAATTATTCCAGCAATTGTGTTTAAGCATTGGCTTTTGCAGCTGCACACATGTAGCTAATATTATTTAGGTAGAGCTTCACCAATGCTTTGTATCATCATTTTGCAAAATAGATTTTATTTTGATAGTTAAGAATAAATCAGAAGCAATCTGAATATTTTTGTCTGCTTAATTCCCCATTGATGTTATTCATAAGCCTAAAAATCTAGATTCTAGAAAAAAAAAATCATAAAAAGGAAAGATAGATTTTAAGTTTTTAAACGGAAAATCTTAGTCGGACTAAAAAGTGATGCAATAAATGAATACATAAAAAAAGATGATGAAATAAAGAAATATGCATGTATTATCTTGCATTGTAGGTAGTCACAGTATTAAAAAAAATAAGTATGCATGCACATCACAGTGTTTTTATTAGTAGTGGACCCTTGTAAGCCCTAACAAAAGAAATATGTTTTTGTAAAAGTCTATATGTTAGATAGATAAGTGACATCTTTCACCAGTTGAGTTATGCAAGTTTTCTGCCTATTATTATTATTATTATTTTTTTTTTCAAGTGATTTGACAAAGTGAAAATTTCTGGATTGTAATCAAGATGTTTATCATTAAACTGATATATCCATATCCTTTGGTTGTTGTCAAACAATATTTTATTGCTCTTCAGTTTTAAAAAGATTATTTATGTATATGTCTCATCAGAATTTATGAAATATAACAGTATATCCACTTCAGTGGATGAATAAGATATGTTGCACTGCAACTGGTGAAAGATGGGCTTCTGTCCAGTAAGGGCAAGTTGTCCCTAGTTGCAAGACTGCTGGGTGTCCATAAATGGTTATCCGCCTTCATCTCATGGCTAATTGTGATGTTTTCCCCCTCCACTAATTATGTGTTGGCTCGTTACTTACCTCTCATGTCTCCTTTCTGCCGACTCCAGCCAGCTCCAGTTTAGATTCAGTCAACGATGAAGGTAAGTTGTGTGGGGGCTGTGGGTGGTTTTGTGTGTGTGTGTGTGTGTGTGTGTGTGTGTGTGTGTGTGTGTGTGTGTGTGTGTGTGTGTGTGTGTGTGTGTGTGTGTGTGTGTGTACTTGCGTGTGTGTGTGTGTGTGTGTATGTGTGTGTGTGTGTGTGTGTGTGTGTGTGTGTGTGTGCGCGTGTGTGTTTGTGTGCATGTGTGTGTGTGTGTGTGTGTGCACTTGCGTGTGTGTGTGTGTGTGTGTGCATGTGTGTGTGTGTGTGCTTGCGTGCGTGTGTGCGTGTGTGTGCGCGCGTGCGCGTGCGTGCACGCATTTGCGCATGTATGTGTGTGTGTGTGGGCGTGTGTTTGTATTATGTGTGTGCATGTGTATTTGTGTGTGTGCGTGAACCCTTGTATAGGTACATGTGCATATATGTGTGTGTGCACATTTATGTGTGCTGTACGTGTCTGTGGATATTTGTTGATGACTGTGTATTGCCCCTATCTTTATGCCTTTTGTAGATATTATATACCTCAAGAGTTAATGTCATGAGCTTTTATATTGCTTATAATTATCATCATGCTATAAGCCTTTTATATTGCTAATTATTATCATTATGCTATAAGCCTCTGCCTCATAGATCACACATTGTTCCAACCCACAAGATAGATAATGTCTCTTGTGCCTACCACTCACCTGCTCCGCTGTATAAAAAAAGAAAAGAAATATTAATTTATTCATGAATTAATTACAAATTTGGTTATACATATCAAATAAAACTTTATTTCCAAATGTGATATTGGTAATTCTTAAAAACAATTTCAAGCCATAAGAGCACTTCTTTTTCTGGGAAGAAAAATCTATGCTTAAATTTGCTGGTTTTCAGTCCATGTCAGGGCACAGGGATTTTGAGCACTGAATAGTAAGACTAGTTCTTGCTTTTGCTTTGCCTGTGTTATATGCTTTTAGTCTACATGAATGATGTAATACCAGACTTAGTGTACAGAATATCTGAAGTTGGAAAATAGTATGGCAAATATAGCTGCAGATAAGCTTTTGTATGTGTGTCTATGACAGGGAAATACTTAAGAAATGTGCAGTGGTAACGTTAACCCATTGCCGACAGGCATGCCATGCCATGCCCACTGTGAGATTACTTGTTTGATTGTTTTTACACATAGATGGCTACACTTGTACTAAATCACCAAGGAGCCAGTTACAAGTACTGCTTGTCTCGCCCATTTACCCTTTTCTTTGAATTACGAGATATTGTATGTTCTCTTATATTGCTGTTACTAATGTTAAATAACATTATAATAATTATGTTTATAATAAAAATAACACCATCGATATTCATGGCACTAGTGAAAAATAGTTTTTTCCGACCATTTCAAATCAGGCACTAACAGAGCCATCTATGGGCAGACATTTCACAAAAAAATATAGAAAATAGGCACAGCATTTTCCCCATTTTTTGTTCATTTTCCCCGGCGGCAATGGGTAAGAAAGGGATCAGAAGGTATTTTTAGGTAAGATTAGGTAATGGGTCATTAACTCCTACGATCTGGATGACATGACCGTCATGTCATGAAGAAATTTGGCTTGAGGGCTGGGTGACATGAATGTGCTGTCATGGTAAAATCCGGCTGTGGGCCGGGGTGACACGAACTTGCTGTCGTGAGTATTTTGACTGAAGGCTGGGGTCATGGGAAAGAATTGCCATGAGTGCACAAACCTCTTGGAGGGTGATTAGACTCATTTGGCAATTAGAAAGGGGCTCTTGCATTATTTCCACCGATAAACAAGTTTGCAATTATTGTCCGTTAGCCGTGACTGGAAGAGTGCCAGCTCCAGTGAGGATGCCATTTCCATGCTCAGATCCTATTCCAGGCTTCTGTGACCGGCAGCATAGGTTGTATTACAGAAATTTGGATATTGCAAAAAAATGTAAAAGATGATACAAATAATAAAATATTATATATTGATGTTATTCTTGCACCAAGTTATAGACTACTTAGAGAGTTGATATGGAGTCTGTGCAAGGAAAACTGTCTAAGCATCCAGATCAAGCAAATCAGATGAAAATATTGACATTAATAAAAGACAAAAAAACTAAAAAGGGGAAAATAACGTTGGAAAGAGCAGGCATGGAGTCTTGTCACCACACACAAGTGTTCGCATGTGCCCGGCCCACAAACCACTCACCCGTCAGAGCAGCCGTTCATGTAAGCCTAATGCCCATATTTTGGGGCATGTGATTGGCGTGAAGCAACCGGATCCAGTGGTCAAGAGGTCTTGCTTGTTGTCCAATTTGCTTGACTTTTGTCTGCCATCAGTGCATCTTCATGACTGTTGCTTCTCTTTCTTCTCCATGTATTATCTTTTTGCAGCCAATATTTCTCATCACCTACAGTGCTGCCAGGAAGCCTCTCCCTCTTGTCTTATTTTTCTTCTTTCCTAATTCCCAGCCTCTTCTCCAAGTCCCCCACAGACCTTCATCTCACGCTATTCTCTCTCTCCCTGCTGCTCACAGAGAGCCTCCGTCGCCACCGCCACAGCATCCCAGGCCACCTCAGCTCATACTTGAACTTCCTGGCGGGCTTACAGCAGAAGGCTGTCACTGCCGTCACGCCAGCGGTCCCTGTGTTCTCCACGGCAGTCATCTCGGGCTCCACATCAGCCCCAGACCTCAGGGATAACTTTACAGCCCTTCCCTTCTCTACTGGTGAGGATCAGAGTTTTCTATTTTGTTCCTTTGAGGAG